ATCGATTGGAGCGTGGGCGTTGTTCGAAATTATGCAAGTTCCCCGGGATTTTTGAGCGCGACCGTACCGGCTTCACGGTGTTAAAAACACCGGGATAATACCATTAACGAATAATAATCGGATCAGCGAGGAGAAATGCCCGGGTCGGCAGATATTAAAATCACACGATAAATCGCAGAGTGCCGGAGATGAAACGCAACGAATCGGAGAAACGGGCACGAATGTACAATTACGGGGCTCCGCGTTAATGAAATCGCATCGAGACGACGAATTCGAGACGTTAATTAAACAACCTAACTCCCACGTGTCGTATCGTTAAACGAGGGATCTAATTTCTTGTGCAAATCGAAAAAGAAACGTGTTTAACGCAGAGCGAATTGTCTGAACGGAACATTCTCGAATCGGTACTCGACGGACCAACGTTACATCGGCGTGTTAAATTTATTGCATCTCGAATTATGCAAATTTCTGACCAGCGATCGTTCATTGCTATCAGCGCACGCGTCAGGGCTGACAATGCGGCTGGTGGCTGTGAACGATGAGGCACATTTTTGATCGAATGGTGCAGGTGATCGTGGCACGCACAAATATAGTTTAATTAAGCTTCCGACTCATTAATAACGAACCCTCTGGGTTTGTACTTCTGTACATTTAATCCGAGTTAGAAAAATATATAAAATTTCGAGAATAAAATACATATTGCACTGCGTGGAATGTGACGTACGTTCATTTGAATTTCAAATCTTTACGTGCATCTGTAAAAATACTTTCAAAGCACGATCGAAACGTGGTACAATGAATTTAATTTCAATATAATTATATTCACCGACATTATAGACTTTCGACATACCTTAACGACTGGACAGCCCATCCACGATCAAAGAGAATTGTCGTTAGGTATGTAAAACATCGTTTCATTGTTCGTAGAACACTCAGCTTCGCAAGCTGCTTACGTTTCACGTTTGTAACGAGATGTTGCTTTTATGCGTCGCGAAATTTACAAGCTGCCTCGAACGCGAGGGGTTGCTAATTCAACTAACCCAGGCTTTTACGTTGAATCGTCTGAAAAATGTATCGTCGTTAGCGTCTTGTTTTCCTTTTGTCAGGACTATTTGATGCGGCCTTTGGCTTCGTGCGTTGCTCAAGAAAAAACGGAAAAAAGGAAGGGAAAAAATAAGCTAGATAAAATGCGAGGCCGCGTATACGTTTTACATTTACGCGAGGTAAAAGCAGGATCGCGAGCATAAAGAAGGATGGCTCGCTTAAAGCGCCGCGGCTAACGACGTTTGTATCCATTCCGAAAAGGATTATACAATATTTCCTTCTACCCGTTTCTTTACGACTCGTTTTACCAGAAAGATGAATCTTCGCACAAAGGACGCCTCGATAAACTTTGCCCTATTAAGACACGTTGACGTTTTGCCCTCGTATTTCCATAGGTTGCGTAGGTTTCTATAGTCTCCTTCCTTTCATACATTTGTAGTGTCCGCCCCTCCCATACCCAACAGTAAGAAGTCAAATAAGAACACGAAACGTAGGGTACGGGATTGGTCGCGTAGGTAAAGCGATCGACTCCCCGTGCCTTATTTTTCGTTTAGACTCCTACACATTTATGCACTCGTGAAATTACTTTTAGTCGTTGAATGCGCATTGCCATTCCTTCCAGTTTTCGTTTCTATTCCATTTTTCCTTCATCCTACAATTTAACATCTTCCCCCGTTGCGTATTTTTAATCGATTTAAACAAAAATTATTTCTCGCAATTTTAATTGAACAAGAAAAACGGGAACACTGGGGATTTATTCGATATGTTTGTTTAAGCAAAAGTTAGGTTTCATATTTAAGCGTTGAAACGTAATTTCAGTTTATAATTCAGGCTGTACTTTCCGTGGAACAAATAACGCATCAAAAGCGGTTTATCGTCTGTTTGTTGGCGGGAGTTTTGGGTTTAGATGTGAATTCTGCCAGTCTCTGAGCGAAACTAATCCGTAAGTTTAATATTGAATTAAAACCGTGGGAAGCGTCGATCACTGGGCCACCGCTGGTTTACCCTATGCAGCGCTTTTCAGAACGTCGACAAAGCCGAGCGCTGTTTAAAGTATAACGTATCGCTCGAAATAACGTCGCCTGAGTGTCAATTTTCGTACGCTCGGGCGATATGCGTCAATCTTTTTCTCCGCGTTACAGGCTAGTACTGTAGGGCTGCGGTATTATTCAGCATTTTTTTCGATCGAGGTACACGATCGGATGGAGTTCCAAATATACAAATAAAAATTGTCAGTCGAACCTCCGGAAGGGTGGAAAATGTGTTCGAACGAATCTATCCTAGTAATTACCAAATGTACATATCGACAATTGCAAACATTGCGTGCATTGCCGGGGGGTATCGGGAGCACGTTGTTGCAATCGTTCGTTGAAGTTTTTCGTGGAAAACGCGGTTGTAATCGTGGCAAATTTACCAGTCAGCGAAAATGTTTGTATTGAGAATATTAAACAAGCACGGAATTGCGGTTCGTCGAAAAATTGCTGTTGCCCGGAGAGCGAGAAACGCGAAACGTTGAATAAATAGCGGCAACTTTCGAATCGAAACAACGAACGAAAGTGCTGTTATGCATTTTTCTCTCTCGGCCAATATTCCGCGGAATCGAATAATTACAGCCCAATTAACCACGAGCCGGGCATATTTAAATGGAAATTATGTCTTTATGATTGCGGTACAACGGAAATGGTTTGCATCGTGTTACTTTCGATCTGCTGGTGAAAATGGATTCGTTTATTGCTGGGCACTTTTTTCGCTGAATACAGAAAGATATAAAGTCGAAACTGTAAATGCAAGAGTACGTTATTATGGGGTGCGATGATTTCTAGAAACTTGAGACGAGTTTCTACGTTGATATTAATTTATCGTATACTTTATAAATCCAATCTTGCATTTGCAATTTCAACTCCGTATTATATGATTATATTCGTTCTGAAGATGCCTCTCGATGCTCGTTTCTCTTATAGAAACTTCTCCATTTATATTTGTATTAGAGATACTTTCAGATATTCTCTTCTTTTCTTCAGGCGCTCGATAATAAGGTTAAGTGGAGTGTCTATAAGTAGTCGAAGTTCACGAACAGTTCCACCACATAATACCGTGCAATATTCCCAAGTTCATAAATTAGACGTAATTTCAGTAAAATTATAGCAAGTGCCCATTTACGTGCTCGTCGCGTCTTCGTACCGATTCTCCTTTCGGCTTTCCTTTCTTTCCCATTCACCTTCATCGAAAAGCGATCGTTCCTCGACCAGGTGTGCTCGTTTCGCCGTTGATATTTTCACGTGGCGCGGAAACCCCCGAAAAAATGAGGGGAGCGTTTCGGAATAGAAACAAGGGGCGGATGGTCCGAGGTCGGGTCAATTTTTCAATACCGCGACTGGCAAATATCGACTGTCGATTCTCTTTTTCCTCGTATCATTCCGACCAACGGTCCGTGCTCCCTTTTCTCGTATCGAGGCCCGACGTTGCGCGTCCCTTTGTGCGTCACGTCGATCCGATTGTTTCGAACGGAATAAAAAAAAAGAAAAAAAGAAAAAAAAAGAACAGCCTGGAAAAAGGGGAAGATTGTCGCACAAAGCGACGAGTAATTAGAACATCCGCGATATTCGACCGTCGTTTTCACCGTATCTGTCGAACAATATGAAACATATGGGGAACAGAGTCGATGGAAAATTTGTTCAGGGAAATGTTTCCCTAATGGATTCGATCACTTGTTTTATTAACCCTTTGCGCTCGAGCGGTGATTCTCGATCATCGGTAGGTTCGAAGTGTTAATAAAATGATTGTCGGTGAGGCAAAGGTGACCTGATCTGAATCTAAGCTTAGCATTCGTGGGAATAGAATACCAAGCAAGCATGTAGAGTATTCAACGGTATTTTACAACGAAAACCATTGTAATTCGAGAAGGGAACTCGTCTCTGGTAAGTTCTGTGTCAAGTGCCTTTCGTGCCAACGAACCCATATAATAATTGGTTACTCTTGACAAGTGGCTAATCAATATTTCACGAACGGAAAACAAATTTTCTCCCTCCGGTTTCGTCGAGTGTCGAAGCTCGCGCATTGAAATCGTCGAATTCATTGGAGTTAAGATGTCCTCAGCTGTCCTCGATTTATAAATGTAATATTTTATTGGTGGACTTAATGATTTTTTTGTTAAATTGATATACATGTGATTGAAAGGACGGATCGAAGGTAGTTTACAATAGAATCGGTGCTCTTACGGTACCATGCGGTATCGATGTCGAACAGGATTAATTCTAGCTGCATCGATATCGACACTTGATATCGAGTATCTGAGATTTCAATACGTTTCGGTAGTTTCCTCTAATTGCAAGGGAATCGAATAGCTCGAGTATCACGAATGTGTATCGTATCAGTCTTGTCAGTCAACGCGCGTTCTCGAAGAGGATCGATTCATTTGTATAGTATAACACGTATAGTTCCCTTTGAATTCGCTGTTGCTGCCATCGACAAATTAAATTTATTCAAACCGTTGGACTGTATTATATAATTATGATTTCTGCCAATACAGACATAAATTTCTTCTCCAATGAATAGATTAAAAACGAAGAGAATGGTTTCTGTTATCTTTCTATCGAATACGCGAAAGTAAAACAAGGCTAACAGCATTTTCCGAGGTCAAAATACATTTTCCAGCGTAAGTCGGCTCGATAACGACCAGAATCGTTTACCTTACCGGATATCGAGTTCTCCTCCGTCAAGAACGCTCATTGGTTGCCAGTTATCGGGCCGATAAAACCGATCGAGTCGAGTGGATCGGAGTTCCCGTCGACAAATAAAATTAAGAACAAAGTTCGGGCAAGTTGCATCGCGTTCGCTGATTGGAGTTTCGCGCCGAGTAATCCGCTCAAATCGATCCGGATCCGTTCGTCGAACGAACGGGATGATCGATCGTTTAATTTTCGCTATATTCGAAATTCGTAACGATAACCACTCACGTCAGTCGCGTTGATCACCGCCGGAAATTGTCAGATTATTTTGGGACCGAACTGGATCTGAAACAGGAAGAGAATTTTACATTTAAACGGGGTATCGGTCCTTGCTTCGTGCTAGGTAAAATTTGATAAATAACTTGGGTCACGAGAAATCCTTAGAAATTCTTAGAAATTAGAGAGACTCTCTTAGAAATCCTTTTATATAATAATTATTATTTTATAGCGATATAATAAATATAGATATAGATTGTGAAGGAAGTATGAGTTGGTTAGCATCCTAGCGCGAAAGCTCGAGGACTGTTAAGGCTCGACGTGCATATCGATTAACCGTTAGTTAAACATCCAGGGCTTATGAAGGCCTATCGGGTTGTCGGTTTAATCGAGGACGATTCATTTCCTGTCGAATCAGGGAACGGGAAGGCAGCGCGTGCTGGCCATATATCAGACCGGTAGTAAACGCAGCTGCGAAACAGACACGACGGTCGACAGTAGAACTGACTCGTATCTGGTCAGACGGCACCGTGAACGGCCGGACTATGCTTACACTAACGTTGCATCGATGAATACCCCATGAACCATTACGAGGGAAGAAGATTAATCAGTTCTGGATTATTGCGTGAATTTTATCCCATGTTTATAAGTAAACAATAAAAAAGTAACGCAGAAGCCACGACTACTTGGATCCTTCTTTTTCTCGTCCATTTTCGTTCTGTCTTCGGATCGGTATCGACTTCAACGAGCGAGAACATTTCTGACGGTTGTTCCCCTGCGTGGAAATTGTTCCGGGAACATTTCACCGGAAGCGATATTTCTTCGCGGCGCAATACACCTCGCGTATCCATTTGCCTCTGTTTACCCGACGGAACCAAAGACACTTTTATTCACTTTCCCCCGTCTGTGATTTATCGAGTCCATTCTCGGAGCAAAGGTGAGCGCAGCAGAGTGTACCCGTGCTCCGTCAGACGAAGCGAACGTTCTCGGAGGTTTCTCTCCTCCTCTAATACACGCAGATAAGGGAAGTGGAAACCAAATACGAGGGAAATACTCGACGGACTAATAAAAGGCCGAGGAAACAGCGTTGGGAAACAAAATGATTCGTGTTACGTGTAGCCACGGGGCAACGTGTTCCTCGAAGGGTCTCTCTTTAATTCGAAACGCAAGCACCCGTTCAGCTACATGCAAATGGTACCCTTCGTGTAGGTGATACCTCCTTCGTTAAAATAATTCTTGGCCAATGGCTACTGCGATGTAAAATTTATAAAAATTTTCCAAAAAAGAATTTGATTTGGAATCTTTTCTTTTTCTTTTTAATAAAGTTGGTAATCTTCCTTTAGCGAGATTAAAAGAATTTTTCATTAACATTGTTCATTTTTTGTCCGTTCAGGTAATTCCGCCAATGTCTGCAATACCCGGACAACATTTCAGCAGAAACGTCTGGTCGAAATTGCCCTGTCAACATGCTGTTTGCTGATAATATACGAGGTGGTCGGAGACACCCCCGCACCAGGTACTGCTCTATTTTCCCTTCAAATTTAACCTAGCATTTATTACGTTCAATCCATCCCCTTTAAGAATCCAATATACATCTAACGACAGACTCTTTCACGAGATAATCTCAATAAAAATTCTCGAAAAGTGGCCTAACAAATAACGAAAAATAATAACGACGCAGTGTCGCTAGTGTTCTCGTTCGGTTATCAATTCCCTTTCAATTTAAAGAGATACTTCCCAGGAAAACCCTGCCAGCCAGAAGATATATAAACCAACAAGAACGTACGCCAGCTCGAGAAGTTTTCCAGCGACACTTTGAGAGGCGGTGTCCCGCGAAATCGTAGGGGGTAAATTCGCGCGTGACCGCGGGCGTTCGAATACTTTTCCAGAATACATCCGCGACGAGGAAAACGGGATAACAGATTGCACGGGGGGGCAGGCTCGCGAGAAGTCTGTCGCGCGGATTCCTTCCACTGGAAACTTTCGAGCGTAAATCCGCCCTCCACACGGAGGGGATAAGCGGCACGCCTAATCCGCGACGTCGCCGAGGATTTAGTATGTTCTCCGACGCGCGATCGAGTCGAGAACCCTGCTCTCGGGCGCGATTCAGATTTTATCGGAATTTTTAAAAAAAAAAAAAGTTATTTCGTAATTGGTTAGGTTTCCGTGTCATACGGTAGCATTATTGTTATTAAAATGGGTGTATTCACGGAATGCAATTAACTTGAGAATTGTTCAGATTGGTGTTTGTAGGGGAGGAATGCATCCGTTGAATCAAAGAAAAATTAATTAAACGTATCCATAAAAATTCTCTCCATACATTCGAGGGTGCTTCACTCTTTCAACGTGAATATCAACCAGTATAAAAAAAGAGGACGTGCGCTATTTGTCTCTATTCGACGTAGCTACATAAAAATCGAAACGTTCAAGTGAGCGATGGTCCCCGTCGGTCAGGTTAGGTACTCCACGTCGCTCTGCCGTGAATGTAAAACATTTACGAGACGTACAATTGACGGGGGCGAATAGAATGTTAGAGGGAACGGTATGAATCTCCAGCGACGGGAAGTTCTTTGGAAAAGGGAGGCTCGGGCTTGGAATAACCGTGGATCGAGTCTCGTCGAACGGAAATAAACGCGTGGCGGAGGGACGAAACGAGGACAGGAAGAAGAGCGACGGGTTTGCTGGAAATTTATGTCCCCCGGAATCCGTAACGGTTCGCGTTGCTCGCTGTTTACCCGAAAAACTTCTCCATCCGCGTGTTGCCAGTGAATCTCTCGGCCGCGACAGACGTAAGCGCGGTTGACGTCCTGATACGAGGTGGAACATAAAAGCATGAACCACGAAGCGTCGATTCTCTTATTGCGAATTAATCCTTCCATAGCAGCGATAATTCTTGAAGACTTTTTAAAGTTGTATATCGAATTCTGTTTTTTTTTTTTTTTTTTTTTTTTGTAATTTGTTTATTAGAGATTTATTCGTACATCTTCTCAGCCTTTTATATACTTTTGGGAAAATCTTTGCAAGTTTCACTAGGATTCTTACAACTTTCACATTGATCGAAAACCTCAACGTGTCACAATAAAATGTATTTCACTCGATTTCCACGTTTCCGTGCATCAAATTCGCGGTGAATTTATCAATTTTATCAGTGAAAGATGAAACGCGGATTTTCTTGGCGTTAGGACGTTCGCTGTCGATTGAAATGGTTCGCAGCACCTGTCTCGACTTGGCTCGAACAAAAAAAAAAAAAAAAAACGTGGCCGTTGTCTGAACGAAAATAACGTTGATTTCCATTCTGACACGGCAGATTTAATTATCGCTGCCTAAGCCGGCGTAGAATTGTTGGAGAGTCGATTGGGTTTCTCTCTCGCGTTTCATTCGGATCCTGGCGCCGCCGCGCTTCCATTTAAATTCAATGCTTAAATCGCGTAATTAGAGGGAAAATACCCGCGCGGTATTCCTCAACGGCAGACGAACAACAATCCGGGATGTAATAAGTTCCGAATTAGCGAGGCGATTACACCTCGAGCTTTATTGATCTCTTTACGGTTTCTTTTTGTAGTCTGAACATCGTCATTCTGTTAGTGGTATTTCCTTTAACCCTTTACCGCATCAATTTTATTCTATTAAATAGAAAAACGGTAAACACGATTCGATACTGTCTCAAGTTGAGATCACTTTTTTTTGGAAATAGAATTATTCGAGAACTTGTGTGAATTGAAATTGGCAAAATAAAGGACAACATAAGAAACTATATGTTCAACAATTGCCAAGCGTGGTAAAAACCACAGTTTTTCCCACGACTCGATAGCGAAGCGCAATCTCAAGGTATCGTCCCACATGAAATGAAATTTGAAATCCAACCACCGTTAGCTGGGATAAGAACACTTGGCGGTCGCAATAAAGATTTCGCCGGAAGGATATCCGGGGAGGAAAGTAAAATTTGTCGAGCCGGGAGATTCAAGGGGCACCGTTCCAACTCTCGTTATTAAGGTGGCCCTTTATTTGACAAAATAAGCCCGATCTATCGCTCCGACGAACTGCTACTCTATCGATTTCGCGTCTATCGAGGATTTCAATGTTTTATGGGGGAAAGACGACACACGGGAGAACACGGAGGATATCTAGCGTGCGTATGTCGAAATAGTTCCCATAAATAGGGATTCCGACTCGTTGATCCTGTCGGACTCCTATGCACTTCCGGTTCCCGTTGCGTTTCGACGAACTTCCCGTGCGAAACATGGCTTTTATTAAGATTACCGGACAATCAGATGGAATTTTCTCACGTGTCTCTAAGTTTCATTTAAAATTCAAGCATTAGGGTACCCCTACCTTGCTCGTTTTAGAGATATTCTGTTTGTTGTAGTTTCAGCTTTAGCCACAGTCACGTGGAGTATTGTGTCTGGGAGTCCAAAAATCATGCTAGCGCGTATCTTTTCTTTTTTTTTTTTAACCGGTAAATGCCTTTAAAGAGCCGTATCAATAACCCCATTAAGTTTCGAATCTCCACCTCAAACAGTTGCCTCTCTAAAAAATTCTCAAGACGTTCCAGTTTTCTCCATCTTCTTTTCCATAAGAATTGCGCTCGAGGAAAGATATTCCAAAGCTCAATTTGCTATATATATAAAAAAAAAAAGTCCAATCTAGCCCCGGTTAAACAGATAACGCCCATCCGACTACGATTTCGCACTACCAGGCTCGATTTCCCGAGCGTAAACACGCGATAACTTCGAACGACCATTTTTCATTCGGGGCGGTGGCGTCGCGACGGAAAAGCAATTTTGGGCGAGGCAATGTTGGTCTCGACCGCGAAATCACGGCGATAACCGATTAATTATAACGACGAAACGCGCACGCGAACCGAGCTCGTCCCTTTTATCGGTTTCGCGCTGTACCGCGAAGCGTTGACAGGCGTAGTCGAGGGGTTATTAACGCTCGCGCAATTTTCATTCCCAAGCTAGTCAACGAAAACGTTCCCGTAGACGACGTTCGCGCCGTTCGCGGCAATGATTCATAATTCATTGTTTATTCACGCGGAAACGGAACCACTTGTCCTCAGGATT